AGTGATTCCTTATCTCTAATAGATAAATCATCCTTACACTTGAACGATCATTCATCCAACCTCTTTGAGCTGACCTAGAATGGGAGCATAAAAAAGGATTATTGATATGACTTTACTCGAGCTCTCATAATTATACGCGGATGCGAGATCAAACGATTTTACTTCGTAGTAACATTCCACTCTAACGCAGCAGCCACTCGGCACACCTAGCCAAACTACTTCCCAATTTGGCTACTAATGACTTCTCGTAAGATACCCGTATATACATACATATATATATATATATATATACATATACATGTACGCGAGGGTTATTGGCATACGTACGTACGTATATGCCTGTCAGAACTACTAACATAAAGCGTAAAAGAGTAAAAGACCGTTAAACGGTAGCTCCATTTTATTAATATGAACAGACAATAGTACAATACACTCGCAGACAATATATGCCTCGATTCAAATTTATTACCTTACCAATATAAAATAAAATAGGTTATGCAACATTTTCCGTCCCCTTCCTTTCTCAGGCTCCAATCAAACAAGCCAGACATTATTCCTTCAAGCTTTTATCGAGCATAAAACGTTCGATAATATTTTCCCATGAAAGGCCCTACGCATGATATGTGGAAAACACCTGTTCCCTTATCTCAATGTACGTACAATTATATGGAGGCTGTATTTATGCGGCACCGGTAACTCATGTAATGTTATAATTTCAATTACTTCGTGGTAATTGCGAGGAACGTAGCTGTAAGATTCACGATCACAATGGCACAACTGGCAAGAAAATCCTTTGGATTCCTCGAGAAAGCGTCGGAAAGCGCAGGGAGTTCGCAAATTGTAACCTGCTTTTGACGTTCTTGACATTGTCCGGAACTCGCCAAACATATTTATTTACTCGACAATAGAGCTTGGCGCTTTACTTAACAGCACGGGAAACAAAAGTCTCTCCGAACGACGTATCCACTCAACTCCGGCCATTTTTTTCTTCATCTTCTTCTTTTTTGTCGTTTTTTTTTCTCTTCATTTTGTTTCCCTTGAAACCCGAGCGAAATCATTATCTCAACCTAAATTGCTACTCGGTAAGATGGATATCGTCGTCATTGCAATCGGTGTGCGCGAGAGCTAAGGCCAACAACGGGACGATTAGGGAGAAGATTTTCGTAGCGCGTGATGAGCAAACACTTAACGATGAGAAGCGCAAATTAAAGGTAGATAATGCAGTTTGGCGAACGGTGCTGTGCATCGGCAACGCAACTCGGAATGATTTGCTGCTGCCACTGTCGTTTGCATTGCAGTGAAGCAGCTGAGACCGAAATACCGACTCAACAATTGAATACAATGTACCGAAGCACATGTGTATGATGTTGCCTTACTTTTCATTTGCTACTTATTTCGCATTACCGAGCTGTTCCTCGTCCTCGGTCTTTTTCCCTTTTTTCTTCAGCCTCTTTTTCATTGAAAATGTGCCTACGCTAGTTACTGCGCTCGTGTATTATTTTACACGCATACGCACTCAACTGCAATAGCGGGGTATTGAATGACGTTTGAGTAACCGTTAAGTTTGTGGACGGACGAGATACACTGGCTGCTTGGCACGTACTTCTACCTAAGATCTTACAACAGAGAGAGTGTGTGTGTGTGTGTGAGAGAGAGAGAGAGAGAGAGAGAGAGAGAGAGAGAGGAAGGAAACGAACATTCGAGGGCCAATTTCAAAGTCTATATATACTTTTCAATGTTTTATTGCCACTATGCGAATTTATGTATGAATCTTGATAATTAGCTTATAAGCGTCTTTTCTCCCTTTCTATCGCTATAAATTTTTTCTTTAATATTCTTTCGGCAGCTTTATTTTTTAAAATTATTTTTAATTTTAAGCAGTAATAGCGTGTAAGCTCTATTTATATATTTATATACGTTATTATTAATTAGACATTATGTACATTTGAACGATAAGCAAAAACGAAGAACGTTTTTTTAGTTATAAACACAGTGAGATTTAAATAAATTTTTTTACATAATAAATTATAATATCCGCGTTATATTATTATATTATTGAAAATAACGATATGCAAGATCATAATGATTTTTACATACTGATAATTTACTTACGTAATAATCACTAAAATACTTTATAAAAACATAATTATCATTTATAAAATGCGAAGCTAAAAGTCACCAACTACATTATTATTAATTAAAATAACTAATTACATTATTAATTCTTTTCCTTTATTCTGTACTGTATTAATATTAAAAGACATTTTTTATTTTTTTAAGTTTATACATTTTTATCTAATTTTATAAAACTTATTGAATTTATTTATTGAATTTCCATGTGAAATCTTAACGTTATATGTTAAATTTTTACTTAATAATAATTTTTAATTATCTATTATATATATATATATATTTAAAGGCCACTATTCTTGCCACAGTTCTTCGTTCTTTCTTTCTTTCTTTCTTTCTTTCTTCCTTTTTACAAAATCTTGTATCAATACCTTTATATCATTGTGTAACTATGAAAACTTTTCTCGGTGATATTATATTGGCATTTGGTTGATTCTTATCGACGCTTTGGTTAACTCATGTGTTCGGGCCAAATTGTCTTTCATCCGAGAAGAGCGTAAAAGAAAAATGATCTTCTGCCCTCTTATGCGAATGTACAAAATGTCAATATATAGAATTAAATAGCGCTTATATACTATTTAAAGAGTATCACACGTTAAAGAGAAACAATGCTACCACTACTTATTTGAAAATTCGTGTACATACTCGTATTACATCAATAATTAATTTTTTAACAATAAGCAGTCACGTGTGGCTCGCAAGGCGAATCTACACTTTATTTCCATATGCCCCGACGCTTTTGCATCTATATAATATATATAAGGCAAGCACGAAAATACGTTTAATTTAATATCCAGTTAATCCGTATTATTGCAATTACTTCCAGTGTGTGGAACGTCCTTGAGAGCACTGAGACGACTGCGGTCAAGGGTTGTGACGAGAGGCCGCGCACGAGAAAGAAGGACAAAACCATGATGCTAAACACGAAATTCGACGATCTATACGATCTGCAAAAATCGATCTCTATACCTCTTATGCGCCTTCCTTTTATTCGGTGGGACCTGCAAGACTTTCTCGTGATTCCAGCGATGATGTCGCGGCGGGAGGTACAAACCTAAGTGAGAAAGTAAACAGCGTGGAGATTTGAGATAGTAGAATACCTCTAGAGACACGTGCTTTCGATGTCGAAGACTTTTGCCTCTCAATGGCCGGCTCGATATGACATAAAGCAAACTATTTCTCTATTATTAGGTAAGGATCGATAGATATGATGACAGACAGGTGATAGGAGTGTAGCATTGGCACTTGTTAATTATTCGATACGCCGTCTAAAGTACAAAAAGTTTATAACCGTTTGACGGTTATATTACGTTGAAGAATGTTCCTTACATACTTAATGTATGATAAAATACCGCAATTTTTTATTATTAAAATTACAATTAAAATATGTGTTTTTAAAAGTATCGGCTCCAATGTAAAATTTAAATACGCAATACGCAAGATTATCGTAAATTTTTAATCATCACACATTTCAATTTTCATCTAATAAAGAAACAAAACATTATCATCTATCAATACATGTATAATATACGTATGCAAATTATATAAATGACGCCTTTCTCTGCTCGTTCATCGAATACAAAAAAAGTAATATGTTTATTAATTTTATCTACGTTGATTATTTAATCATTGTGCAAACATGCAGCGGTTGTTGACTAAGCTCGAGAAAATGCCCGAACCACCACCGCGTTCAAAAGTTTATCTTATCCTTATAAAAAAAATATTGTATTACTAATAAACGAAACGCAAGATAAAATAAATGCCCTTACGGAATTGTGGTACTCGCCTAAATATGGGAATATGGTGGGATTGGGGATGGGGAGGGGGGGGGGGGGGAAGCGTCGGACATCAAGTACCACGTGCTTCCTCCTTCGGGTAATCTCCATTGCACGATAGAAACACAGCGATGAAGAAGCAGAGAAGAATTGGGAAGCGACCAATCGCCATGGAGGAGCGTTAGAGAGGATCCTCGAGATTTTGCACAAAACCGAGCATTATATAAAATATCAAAGATGAAGAATAAGAAATAAAGATGGGAACGCTGGGCTGGGCGGCGGGTGGGGGGACTTTATCGTTAATTATTCTTGTATGATTTGACTGATGGTATATTATTTTTAATCCTCTCCCGCACGCTATTCTATGTAGTTCTATCTAGTTTATGTCGATATGATATTGAGAATCTTAATTGCGTATGAGTAAATTATTATAAGCTCTGTATAACTGCCAATTGCAACAATGTACTCATTGATTTTATAATAACGAATATTCTATTTCCAATTCAATGATTAAGCACCAATTTCCATGTAATGACAGCGTTAATGGGAATTATTGTATTTCTTAAATGATGGTTAATGATACAATAACACTGCTTTCAGTCTTGAGGGGGGACTTGCAAATAAAAGAAACTAATATTTTAATTGATTAATCGTCCTAGTATATCCAAATTACAATTTTTTCTTCTCTTTATTATTATTATTATTATTATTATTATTAATAATAATAATAAAGGATTCGACATTTAAGAGAAGAAAAAATTGTAATTTGGATATACTTACTTTTGAAATTCATATAAAATTTAGAGAATACATCGAGTCGATTTTTGACGACAGGTATTTTACTTGATACCGAAGTTGGTAGTTTTGAAACAAAAAGAAACAAGTTACTTAAATATTTTCTTTATTTTATGGGGACGAGTCATTATTTTCACTGTTTAACAGAACGTTAATTGGAATCTTAAATTTTAAAATGACCGTGTAGTGAGAAATAATATTTAAATAATTTTAATTTATCGTTAAATTAGTTATATAATACTGGGAACATTGGTGCTGTGAAAAATACAGTACTAGTCTACTGTCTCTACTGTCTCAAATTCTTATATCGGTTTATTCGGTTCTGGACTAATTGGAATTTCAGTAGAATTGGAATAGAAATTTGGTTAGAAAACATGGCTTTAGTTTCTGCTAAATCCATTTTTTATCCCGGTAAGATGGATTTATTAATAAATAACAAAATATTTTCTCATGATAATGTTCTAATGCATGAGTAAAGATAATCTAATATATAAATGCGTATAATACTTAGAGCTAGATTATAGAACCTAACCAAATCTAATGGACCATTTTACGATCGATAAATTATTCATTTATATTATTAATTAATTAATTATTTTAATTTAATTGTAGTACTACGGCAAAGTGGACAACAAGCTGTTTTCTCTAGACGGTTCACTTTATGCGTGAGTATTACAGTATTGCTAATTTAATTTTCATGGTTGTAGCCAAGTCCATATATAATCACAATATGATAGCAACATAAAGTTGTCCTTTTATTGCATTTATATACAACTGCTGAATGATTGGCATAAGAAATTTATTATTGTTGCAGCATCGCAACGCATTAGGCAAACAACTCTATTTACCCTCTATCGTCCTTCAAAGATATTATGCCGAAAAGGTTGTATATTCGCGATCTAAGCCTCACATCAATGTAGGAACTATTGGCCATGTTGATCATGGAAAAACTACGTTAACAGCAGCCATAACAAAAGGTTCGATTATATTTAATAATGCAATAGCTTAAGTATATTCTTATTAGTTGACATTAATTGTCATATGCGTCGACAGTGTTGTCAGAGATTCAAATGGCAACGGCTAAAGCTTACAATGAAATCGATAATGCTCCACAAGAAAAGGCTCGTGGCATCACAATTAATATTGCCCATATTGAATATGAAACATCAAACAGACATTACAGTCACATCGATTGTCCTGGCCATGCAGATTATATTAAAAATATGATTACTGGAACAGCACAAATGGATGGTGCTATATTAGTTGTTGCAGCTACCGACGGTGCTATGCCACAAACCAAGGAACATCTAATTCTTGCTAAACAAATTGGTGTCGAAAACATTGTTGTTTACATTAATAAGGTAGTAAATATTTTATTAATTTCTATACCCCTATGGTTTAGTAATATTACATGGGTGCTAAATTCATCAAATGAATGCTAAAAAAAAAATTTTAAATAAATGGAGGCTTTTTTCTTTTTACATTTCTTACATTAAGCAGTAAAATTTTATTTCATAGACTTACCAAGAAATAATGTCAAAAAACCAATACTTTTATCTTTCCTATAAATCAATACTTATATTTCGTATAGGTTGACGCAGCCGATGAGGAAATGGTGGAACTTGTAGAGATGGAAATAAGAGAACTTTTGAACGAAATGGGCTTGAAGGGAGATACAGTTCCAGTTGTGAAAGGCAGTGCACTTTGTGCTTTAGAAGGAAAAAAGCCCGAAGTAGGAAGTGAATCTATTACAAAATTACTAGACGCTATTGATAGTTACATACCAGTTCCAGTTAGAGACTATGAAAAATCTTTCTTATTACCAATAGAAAGTATTTATTCAATCACTGGTAGAGGTACCGTTGTAAGTGGTCGATTAGAACGTGGCAAAATTACAAAAGGCATGGACTGTGAATTTGTAGGGTACGATAAAACTATGAAAAGTGTTATAACTGGTATCGAAATGTATCACAAAATATTAGAATTTGCTGAAGCTGGTGATCAACTTGGCGCTTTAATTAAAGGAATAAAAAGAACTGATATTAAAAGAGGAATGTTTTTATGTAAACCTGGATCGGTAAAGCCTCACGATCATGTTGAAGCTCAAGTATACATTTTAACCAAAGAGGAAGGTGGAAGAACAAAACCGATTGTAGATCTTTCGCAATTACAAATATATAGTAAAACATGGGATTGCCCAGCCCAAGTTAATATAGCAGAAAAAAAAATTATTATGCCTGGTGACGATGATAAGTAAGATTATATTGATTATAATAAGAATTTAGAATAGTCGTTTAATTTTTCATATTTGTATTCGTTTTGTTGTTTTTTATTCAAACATTTTTAAAGAATAATAGAAAGTAATATAATTCAAATATTCTATTTTGTTCATTTTTAGATTATATAATTTGTTTTAAATATCTCAAAGCTTAAATTAAATGAAATTAAGATACAGAATTTTAATTAAAAATTCATTTGTTTTTCAGAATAACACTTAAGCTTTATAAACAAATGGTGTTCGAGAAAGGTCAGCGATTCACATTAAGAGATGGTGCTACCACAGTTGGCACTGGTGTTATAATTAATCATCTTCCTAATCTACATCAAACAGACCGACAAATACTTTATGCAGGCAAAAAGGGAATAGAGAAATTGGAAAAGAAAAGACAAAGGTCAAAGGCATAAATAAAAAATTGTTCATAAAAATATCCGTTTATACTAATTAGTTTAGCTACATTACATATTAGAAAATAAGCTTTATAGATTGAAAAAAAAATTTTTTTACATCATATCTTTGTTATCATAAACGAAAAGTAAAGAAATAGTTGAATTATATTATGAACAATAAAAATGTTTAATTTAAGACAATTTAAATAAGCAAATTTAACAAAGGATTTAATATCATACACGATAATGGCTTTGAAAAACAAATACTTTCAATTTTTTTTATATCACAGTGTACATGTATTATCAATGACCGATGTTAATTATTAATTGAAATAACGAATTAAAAATAGTATTTTAAAAGATTACTTTTAAGTTTTAATTAAATACATACCTTATTTATTATGAATAGGTTATGTAAGAGAACAAATAGCTTTGTTTCTTATTTATTGAATTCAGACGATATTACAATCTGTTCAAGGTATTCTTTCAATCAAACTCATCCATGACGAAAACAAAATTATTTCGATATACTCGTCTCAGTCACTACGATCTTACATTCTTTGAAATAAAATTCAAGTTAACACATGACATAGAAATTCTAATATTCACACACATACGCACCTCATGATTATTTATTTACCTTTAATGAGATAAACTCGAAACAACTTGTATCAATAATTTTTGTAAGAAACAAGGCTGTTGTACAAAAGGTTTCTATTTTATAATTTAAAGTAAGACAAGTCATACAATTCACTAATGCTTATAAAAATAGTAAACTGTTCATGATCTGACACAATCAGGCGCAACATACCGTGAACTGCATTGAATAGTTAAAGATGGTCTGTTTACATATAACAAAAACACTAGCACGGAAGAGTTTACTACCAATATTAATAAAATACCAATTACCGTTTAAATCAAATACAATAAAATATATAAATTAATATAATTTAATAATGTGAATATCACATATTAAAGCTAACTTTTTAATTGGCATACAATATTCGCATTAATAAATTCAATTCATTATTCTATTGTAAAGATTTTAATTTAAATGAACATTATTTGATATTTACTTTATATCAGCAGTCAGTTTTGAATGAAAATTAATTTCAATCAATTAAAAAGGTTACTGAAAAATGCTGTAACTTTTAAAATATATCCTTGATAATAAATTTTCAATATGTAAATTATTCAATGAAAGTGTATATATTTGTTAAATTCAGATTTGCTAAAATATCGGCAATTGTTTATCAAAAGTAAAACATATATTGTGAATATTTGAGCACAAATTTTATATTTTCTGATGTCAATTTTTTGTAATTTATAGTTTTGCAAAAAAAAAAAAAACTTCAACCAGATCAGAGACAATAACGCGTTGTCTTATATAAATAACGCATGTTCGTGTGATAGGCCCTGCCTCGATTTTATAAATGACTATAGGTCTTCGTCATCCTCGGGAAGTGCCGTTTCTTGTGCCTCTTTGAGATCCTTTTCAATTTGTAGTTGCCATTGCGGGTCCATTGTTACCTCTGGTGGAAGAAGAGCTGGCATAGCAACAAACTCCAGATTGGGATCTCCAATAAGCTTACGTGCAAGCCAGAGGAAGGGCTTTTCAAAGTTATAGTTACTCTTTGCACTGATATCATAATACTGCAACGATTAGCAAAACAATATAAATTATTATCGATCATACAGAGCCTTTCACGTATCGTTAGAATCAAAAGCTTAGAATATTGATTTTAGACTCTATGTACGATAATATAATAAATCATTAAGGATATAATTCGGTTATCTCAACTGATTTACCTGGAGATTTTTCTTTCTGTGGAATACGATGCTCTTTGCTTTGACTTTCCTATCCTTGATATCAACTTTATTACCACACAGAACAATTGGTATATTTTCACAGACTCTAACTAAATCTCTGTGCCAATTAGGAACATTCTTGTACGTCACCCTAGACGTAACATCAAACATAATTATCGCACACTGGCCTTGGATATAGTAACCGTCTCGTAGGCCACCAAATTTCTCTTGACCAGCTGTATCCCAGACATTAAATCTGATGGGACCTCGATTTGTATGGAAAATGAGGGGATGTACTTCAACTCCCAATGTCGCTACGTATTTCTTTTCAAATTCTCCAGTTAAGTGACGCTTAACGAAAGTGGTTTTTCCGGTACCGCCATCGCCAACGAGTACGCACTTGAAGGTTGGAATATCACTCTCTTGTGACATATTCCAAAAATTATTGGCACACTTTGCTCAAAGGTAGACCGATTAGAAATCTAAAATGATAAAACGAGAGTTTTATAGGTTAACGTACCAACTTCAGGGAGAACACGATTACTTGCAACGCATTAATGTTTCGTCAAGTAATCACAAAATCACAAAATATCTACGAATAAATGACTCGTTATAATGCACGTTTTCAAGCTAAACTATTGGCAAAAACGTGGGAAATGGTTGGAGAAAGTACAAGCTAAACTTACGCACAGCAATATTAATATTAATGTCGGATATATAAAAAAAATTTTACATTTGTAAATCACGCGTCGAGTACGTGATCGCAAAAACGTTCATCCGCCGCTCCTTTATATAGTAATAAATAAATCGTGGCGCGATGGAACGGACGACGTGAGCTCTACCTCGACAAAAGCTAGTGGATGAGACGTCGGGGTACACGAAACGACGACGAGCAGGTCCTATTGCGCTTAATCACGACGGTTGTCCGAGAGGCCTCATGCAACGGCAAAAGAGCGGCTAGACTCACATAGGCCGACGTGATGTGATACAAAGAATGGCGCCGACGGACGGTTGTAAGAGCGCGCTAACCGTCAAAAGACAAGACACGAAAATCGGTGCTCAACGGTCGGCCTCGACCAGCTCCTTAAATACAACTTACGTATTGGTAATCGCGCGAAAAGTGCGAAAGTACGGCGAATTTTACTTGCCGGCTGCGATGAAAATTTCGCGGGAAGCGGCGTGGCACGTGAAAATGGACGTAACAAGTCACGTTCGGCACAGTCGTTTAGGTTCACAATGGCGTTCCCCGAACGGCTAGCGGCCCTGAGCGGCTCGAGTGCCGACTGAATCCGCTTTATACAACCCACTTTTACTCGACTTTTGCGAGCTTCTTTAGTACCCTGATGCGTAAAAAAATCGTCTTTTTCCAGCAGAACGTCGACTTTTATTAAATAATAGCCACTTTATTAGCAAGAAAGCCGTAATGTGGAAAATAGAGTAGCGACATCTGTCGCTTGCGGCAATAGGGCCGTACGAAAACGGGCAACAGTGGCGTTATGCAGGGGGCCGATCCTTATTTGGGCGCTTAATTCAAATTTTCTGCCCCGGTGCGTTGGCTCTAGATTTTCCGGGCACGTGGATTCGCCATTGGAAAAGTTCTTTACCGGGTGATGATGGAGGAGGGGTGGAAGCCCATCTTCGCCAATCGGCTTCGCAAAGTGTCAATGCAATGGATTATTATAATGATTAAGAGAGGAGGCGCTACTGCCGTTAGGCCTGCTCTAGGTGACATGTCGTTCAGGGAGCCCCGGGCAGTAGGGAAAAAGACTAGCGAACAGCTAATGAATCTAATCACGTTCGCAACGAGAGTAAATTTCGATTATAATGAGAATGGGGAGGACGGCGGCTATGGCGGGATCGGCAATAGTGACGGCGACGACGATGGCAGCAGTAGCTTCGACGGCGGTATCGGCCGTATCAGCGGTATCGGCGGTATCGGCGGTATCGGCGGTATCGGCGGCATCGGTGGCATCGGCGGCATTGGCGGTATTGGCGGCGGTGGCGGTGGTGGCGGTATCGGCGGCAGCGGTGGTGGCGGTATCGGCGGCAGCGGTGGCGACGGCAGTGGCGACGGCGGTGGTGACGACGGCGGCGACGGTGATGCGCGCGCGCTTTGGCCCAACCTCGCCGTCGCCTTTCGTACGGGGGTGTTCCGAATGTTGACGTCAGCGGCGCATGCGCTCGCCGCCGAGTACAGCACTGCAGAGAGAGCAGAGGCGAGTCCGCGAGCCGTATCGATTTTACGATCGTGTCTCGCTCTCGCGCCGTGTAGTGTGTCCGTTTCCTTTAGTTTTTAGTGACCGCGGTACGACTCGTTCCCCCTGTGCATGGATAAAACGGTGAATGGGATTAGCCGCTGAGCGCCAGGCTCCGCACGAACGCCGACTCTCGGAGTAGCAGCAGAGCAGCAGCTCCTCGTCGACACTCGCCATGACTAAGGATAGATTAGCAGCCCTCGTCGCGGTGAGTCTCGATTACTTAGCGCCCGCTTGGCCGCTTCCGCGGCAATGGTGAACCGACGGACACCGTGGCACTCGGTGCTATGTCGAGCTCGCTCGCTCGCTCGCTCGCTCGCCCTTCCTCCTCGGCTCTTTTCCCCTACGTTTACCCTGGTCCTCATCGTCGACGTGTCGTCTCCTCGGGTTGGCACCTTGGCACTTCCTCACATCGGCACCTACGGTGGAACGGTTATGGGAGGCGGCTGCTGCTGCCGCCGCCGAAGCACGTTTCCATCGCCGTGACCGACTTGGCTCCAACCACAAAAAAAGAGAGAGAGAGAAAGAGAGAGATTGAAAGAGACTGAGTATGAGAGAGAGAGAGAGAGAGAGAGAGAGAGAGAGTCAGACAGACAGACAGACAGACAGACAGACAGAGAAAAAGAGAGAGTGAGAGTGAGAGAGCTCTACCTGCGTGCATGCGTGCGTGCGTGCGTGCGTGCGTGCGTGCGTGCTTGTGCACATGTGTGCGACGAAGCGCGACATTATCCAAGAGTGCACTGTCAAAAACACGCGCATTCTCAAGTTAAAGCGTCATCGTCGGGGAACGATAGCCAATACCCAAACGTCCAGCTCCCGCTCGATTTTCTCAATATACCATTTTGATAACCAAGCCTCGTCACTCGACCCTTCTCCCTTCTCTGCTCCCGTCTTCTTCGTTCTTCCCCCGTTCGCGCCCCGCTGACATCGTTAGTAGTACTCCTCGTCTTCCTCAGGGCCAACTTCTCGTGGATCTCTTCGGCCCCGCATTACGTAACGTCTCAGCCTGGCTCGTCTACTTGTTTGTTTGTTGTTTTTTTTTTCCCCCTAGTTGCCCGAGCAAGTCTGCTAGGTTCCACGAGAGGGGGGGGTGCGAAATGGTAGGGGGGAGGGTGCAGACTCGCGGACACCAGCCAGACCAGGGCCCGGTGAACGTCGCGCCGGTCGTCGTAGCGTAGCCGGTAGCGTACGACAGGTGTTCGGGCCGATGTCAGCGCGAGGGGCCACGAGTCACCCGATCACTCGTGTTCCGTCAACGAAGACGACGGCGACGACGTCCCCCACGGCCATACGTAGACAATGAAATCAATCGCCAGCATCTCTTGACGAGGCGACGGATGATGGAGGAGCTCGAGTCTTTTGCCCCGGCCGCTGCTTTATTTCGTCGTACTTTTTCAGTATGTCGTGGTTCCTTGGCCTCGCCGTTCCTATTTACGAGATGGATCCATTTAACGGCAATTGCCGTTTGTCGATTATGATTTATTTGAAAACGTGCGCGGATCGAAGCTTACGAAGCTTTAATATCGCGTCTACGATTGATCGCGGATACGATTTCCCGAACTTTTTACCGACAGCGAGACGAGTTTTTATTCTCATTAGGGGAAATGACTAGGCACGACGATGTTGATTGTCATTTCAAATGACACTTGCTACTTTTGGCATTGGGGCGAAGAGTAAATCCGGCGTCTTGGGCATGCGGCGAGGGGGCTCTTCTAGACGTGCAATATCGATAAAGGACAATGTCGATAAAGTCTTGAAAGGCTTGAAGTGAAAGATTTAATCTTAAGTTTGACTTTGAAAATGGCGTTTTTGGTAAAAATGTATGGATATTAGAAAGCGGTCGATATCGTCATGCTGTTGGCGGCTAAAAGAATTGTAATTTTACCGATCCGATAGTCGTGCTTGCTCGAGGTAAATACTTCCTAATTGTCAAATCAATTTTTCAATTAATTATTAATATATTTACGCGTCTAAGCCTCGATAGTTTTAAGTTTGTGGAGCAATTTAATGGAATTAGTTCTGTCTTCTACCACCACAGACGATCGATATACATTTTCTATATAGATGAATCGAAGGAAAAAAAATTGATCAAATAAGATAATAATTGGCCAAGCAGATATTTAGTGGCTTAAAAAATGATCGAGCCAACTATTTTAAGTGTACGATAAAAAGAATTTAATATACACGTACACGAATAAATATTTGTATTTATAAATATTTCTATATTCTGGATAAGCTTAGAAATGTTCAAATTGCTTGTTAAAGAATTAAACGATTGCATTATAACATTGATTAGTTTGGTGCTAATAAACGTCATTGTTGGCACATTCTTATCTTCTTCTGATTTAAGGGCATAAAAATGACAGAAGCATTCATCATGGATAATTTAATTAGCGATTTATTAAGAATTTAGCATCGTGTGATGGCGTACCGACGTCGCTGTCAGTTACATTGATAAAAGTAGGCCAGGTATGCGTTAGCTTACCGATAACAATATCCCTAGGCTGAGGCTTTTTACGTATGTCAATGATAAAATTTGCGGATTTTTAATTTATCATTTCGCGTCGTGAAATTAAAATACCGATAGACGATTTAAATGTTGATTGTTAAGTGTGCTTGCTGCATTGTTATCATGGTTAGATAATATATTTGATAAATTATATAGCGATGATTGTTGATTACGAGAGGTCATGTTCGTATACAGACAACCTTGTACACGATGATTCAATCCGATGTTTTTCCCAAATCTCTGTGTACTTCAATAGAATTGGAAATCTCGCTCTATCGAACGGGTTATTCCAAATTTTAATGTCATATCATTTCAGTTCGCAATCTACATAATGCACAGAGGACGACGAGTCGTCGGTTAAAAATCCGGGCAGAGAGAGAGAGAGAGAGAGAGAGAGAGGGAGAGAGGGGGGGGGGGGCAGAGAATGGCGTTTGGCTTGACGGGGATGGAGGGGAGAGAGAGAGGAAACGAGCAAAGGAAGAAACAACAAAAGCATAGATTGTAAGGGGGACGACGTGGCTTTCTCTTGCGTTAAAAATTTCGGTTCGCGTTCGATCGCCCGTTGAGAAAATTGTCGGAAAAAAGTCGCTGCCCCAATCGCTTTCGGCTGCCATCGACGATGCGTTTGAATTTTCACGGCACCACTCTGGCCATCCAAAAAAAGTCGCCAGCGTATGGCGCCGAATAGATAGATAGAAGCACCACGACCTCACTTACGAAAATAATATAAACGTTGGAGGTCCCGAAAACTCCTCGTAGCTATTACCAACATCGGCGCCGTGCCTGTGCCTGTCTCTGTCCGTCTGTCTGTGCGACGCAATACATGCACACGAATGAAAAACCGTCCTTATTCATTTGCACCTGCCTTGCTTTTGGTGCTAATTTCATTGGGCGCGCAGCGGCAAAGCTTTCCACGATATTATCGAAGGAGCCTGAATCCGTCTACTCTTAACTACCCTGACCTCCCTATATGCACATATACTTATCATATTACTTTCGCCCATTTCAAACAAAGATATCGCCCTTTCAATGTGGATACCTATCAGGTACGATAATGCAGCGACGATTGAGGATCCGATCCGTTTGCTCGTAAACCCGTCGCTCGGTGACCGTCAGTCAATGTTACCGAGGTCATAAAACGCTACGAAGCAAACGTATTGTAACGAACAGTGTGTGAAATAAGGATGACGCAAAATTAGCCGGGAATATTAGCAGGTTTTAATAGGAGCTTATTTATTATTGGCGATTGATGCCCTTTGCCGCAGAACTAGTAATTTGACAAGGCGTCGTGGGAAATTTCGTGCACAATTGTATTTTCCTTACGTGTAATGGTAAGGGAAACGCCTAGGTCGCCCGCTTATGACTATGTCACATATATTACCTTCATAAGCGCGCGCGAGATTTTTTTATTTTTTTTTATTCCTTGTTCTTTTTTTTGTTCCTTTTTGCTCTTTAATGTGATGTATGCGAATGAGTCACACTCGCCAGGGTCTTTAGCGCCGAGTTTGGTTGCTTCTACGGGAGGTGCGTTTAACGCGAGTCGCACACATTTGATCTAAATGCCTCTCTTCTTCTATTATACATATATATATATATATATATATATATATATATCCGTTTTATTCGATTGCCTTTGGTGCTCTGTGCCAACTGGTAAATTCCGGTGCAATTTCGTCGACTCCCTGAACTCGGTGTCGTTGATTTGTTTCGCGGTAAGAGACTTCCGTTAATGGGTTTCATGTCGTACGTCTCTGCTCAAGGTCTTTTTTTATTTAAGCCTTTACCTAGATTTATTCACAATAATTTGATTCGCTGTGAAAATATCTTTTGTACTTAAAAACACACGGTTGACTAACGTCATGCATGCGGGACTGAATAATGTCAATGCCTAGATATGTATTTGTGTGTGTGTGTGTGTGTGTGTGTGTGTGTGTGTGTGCGTGTGTGTGTGCGTGTGTAAAACGACGAAAAAGTATGCCGATTTTCGAAATTATGCATTGGGTCATTTTTTGTGCCTTTGTTAATTCACTGAATGACCTCGCTGTGTCTAAATTAAGTAAAGCCTATAATATGATACGTTCAATGCTTGATAATACTTATGCTTGAACGATTCGATATTCATTCAATGTTATCTTAAATATCGCGCAAAACAATACCAACAACGATCTTCCACTACCATATACTAGCATGACTTTACTTATACCTACACACTGAATATTCCATTAATTTAATTTGGATGTCTGACTGCATCCATTATGCGCTAAGTTTTTTTCTTTTTATTTTGAATAACCATCTCATTGATAAAGTACGATCTTTTGTATGTTTACGCACGCTTAGCGAGGCTATATGCATAAAACCACAATCTTTGTTTAATAATAATACTTCGGACGCGTGTACTCCGTGTATGGGACACGAGAAGCAAGTCACTAATTATTTGTAATGATGTAAGTTTTATGAAAAAGGAGAGGCTCGGTGACCGGTCGACTGCTGTCGAATGCTTTGTAATATCCTACGGGATAAGCAATAAATTTACCTTCAATGTCAAATCTCTATTGTTGTTCCTATTTTCGACTTTCCGTCTCGTCTCATACGAGTATTATGTTTTTTATTTTTAATTTTTTAATTCTTTATTCATAATAACTTCATTTAGAGTTGGCGAATTACGAGAGACGGTGCGTGTATCATTGACGTTAAACGAT